GGTCGGTTCTCCTAGATAGCGTGCTTTCCTAGCGGTTTCCAGAAAATTCGAAGTTGGTGGTTGAGATCCTTCACTTAAGTTCTATTTAAAATAGTCTTCTTAAGGAGGAGATAAGGAAACTAAGAGAGGCTCTAATTAATAAGAGGACGCGCAGGAAACAAGGTAAGCCTCTGCCTCTGCAAGAAGCCAAGGACTATCACAGTAGAGCTGTATTTTAGTCTCCAAGGAAGGTGAAGGAGGCGCGCGATCGCCTGCAACTCTAGAAGGAGGAGCAGGAGCAGCAGCAGCTCTAAAAAGCTAATACAATAAGGCAACGCGAGGAGACAAAGCAGGCGAAGGCGAGGGAGAAGGAGCAGAGGCGTCAAGATAGACTTGCAGTGAGGATAGCGAGGCAGAAGGAGAGGAAAGAGAAAGCTACTGAAAAGGCCTCAAGGATCGCAGCCTGCAAGGCTGCAAAACGACTTTAAAAAGCTATTAAAACTACTTAAAGGAGTAAGAGGAGCAGCCTCAAGGCTCCTACAAAGGCTACTCGAAAAAAGAGGCCTATCGCGAGGCCTCACGGTAGTAAGAAGCCTGAGGGAGGCGCAGGAGGATCACCACCTCCAACCTCGCGTCGCGGCCGCGCGATTAGAACTCCAACTCGATTTCTATAGCTATATATATATTAAGGCCTAACAACCTCACCTCTAAAATATTTCGCGATAGTAACCTTTTGGTGTGGCTCTATAGCCTCGTTTTTAAGATAGTTTTGGTGAGGCCGCGCGCGCACTTTGTGGTCGCGCGCACTTTGTGGTGGGGCTAGTTATGCAAGTACGTGAGACACACAAAGGTTGAAAGAGAAAAAAAAATAAAATAGTTCAGACTCATGCACATGCTCCCCCACCAAAAAAAAGCAGTCGAAAAAAGAGAGAGAGAGAGAGAGAAAAGAGATAAAGGACCGTAGAAGTAGTAGTAGTAGTCACTTTGATTATCAAACGCCAATAAACGCCTCCCCACCCAGTTCCAAGTCCCGACTTCGATTTGACGACTTGTGGTTATACACGTCGTAAACGCGTGAATGAATACTTGTTTTCACTCCCAGTCCTCCTCATCACTCTCCTCGGTAGCCGCCTTCTTCTTGTCGTTTTCAGGGCTGCCTGGCGCACGGCTCGTGGCTCCGCTGACGAGATCATAACTAGCGTCACTATCGGCAACGCTCTTTTCGTCGTTTGAGCGGCGGGGCTGAGCTGCTTGGGCCTTTGCTTCATCGGTAGGCTTGAGCGTTTTGACGGATGCAGCGAGGTCTTTGGAGGAAGAAGGAGCGGCGGCGGCGGCGGGCTTGTTGGGGGTTGCAGAGCCGGTGGGTTTCGGGGTCGTCTGTGTGGGTTTTGCGGCGACGGTGGCGTTGTCGTCCGAATCTTCGTCGGATTCTTCTTCAGAATCGTCTTCTGATTCCTCGTCTTCTTCGTCTTCTTCCTCGTCTGACTCTTCTTCCTCGGAGTCTTCGTCCCATGCGACTTCCTCGTCGGCGGCTGGCGTAGATGCTGAGCAGTGTTAGCCTGTGTTCTTCAACCCCAATATCAACCATACCTTTGAGCATCTCCCTTCTCCGCTGCTCTTCGCTCTCAATGACGTGACGCAGGAAGTAGTACCTGCACCAAAAGGTCTTGTACTCGACCTTTTCAGGCACGCACTTTTCCATGGCGCTCCTCAGCTCCTCGTGCGCTGTGCCGTCTTCTCATGGCGGTCATCAATCACATGACCTGGATGCGTGGCCGCGTACCTGACCTCGTACCTACATAACCGCTAGTCATGCATGGCCCCCCCCCCCGCCCGCGCTGCACTGAGCCCTTGATGCCTTGATGCACGCCGACCGCCTTGTCTCGCGACCACGCACAACCTTAACCCCCCGCTGCCTGAATCTTCCCCGCCCCCCTTCTGGACGCTCGTAGCTATGGATTCCGCCTACGATCACATCCAGGAGGAGAGCTACCCCACCAAGCAGTCGGGCGCCGGAGACAGCACCCACCAGGAGACGGCCGCCAACTTCAACACCGAGTTCCAAGATGCATACAAGGCCATTTCCAGCAGTCCCTGGGCCGCCAGGCTGGGAGGCTTCTTGGGCAGCGTGAAGAAGCAGGTGAGGCCGCACATGGCGTGTCTGAGCGACGGGGTGCTAACAGCGGGCGCCACAGGGCGAGCAGTACTACGATAATGCGAGCAAGCAATATGCGCCCTTGACCAAGAACGCCACAGCGAGTGTCTCCAACATCATCAGCCATGCCCGAAAGATTTCCCTTCAGCCCGCCGAGGCGTCGGCCTCCAAGTCCGCCCCTTCCGACCAAGACGCTCCCGCCGAGAAGCCCAAGGAAGACATAGAGGCACACCCAGACCGTCCCGAGTCTCTGGCTGCGGATATCGTCAAAGAGGCAGAGGGCATGCTGTCGCGCTTCCGCTCCGAAGCCGCCAAGCGCCTCAAGGACGTGGAAAAGGCCGAAGACGCTGCAGATGAAGCGCTGCTCAAGTTTGGTACAAACATCCGCAACTTCCTCCGCGATGCCGTCACCATTGCCCCGCCCGAGTCGGGCTCGGAAGCTGCCAAGAATGGCGATGTTCTCTTCGAGTCCAAAGATAGCAGCGGTAAAAAGGTCGTCCATGCTACGCGCTTCGACGCCCAACTCCACGTCATCCACTCGACCCTCGACTCTTTCCTCAAAGACCCCGCTAGCCCAGAGTGGGAGAATTGGCAGAGCTCGTTTGACGTGGACAAGAAGACGGATGCCATTGCCAAAGATTTGGAGAAAGCTGATATTACACTTAGATTCGATTATCATTTTGAAAGTTTATCGCCTTGTCCTCCAGCAGGGCGGGTCGAAGCCGCATCGTGGCACGGCGCGCGGCTTCAGGCCCATTGCGCCCATCTGCCCTGGACAATGCTCCCACCCACGTCTTCGCTACTTAGCCAGCGCCTCTGCCATGTATGATGCTCGCGGCTTGGCATGTTCACAGTCCACCCTCGCGCTGCCTCGCTTCACCTCTTCTTCTTTCCCACGACCGTCGTGAAGCCGTCCTCGTCCACCTCGGGCTCGGGCTTTTGCTTGGGCTTCGCAGGCACAAGCGCAGGCGCATCTGTCATGTCCGTGTCGCCGTCGTCGTCGTCGCTCTCCTCATCCACGCTGTCCCATTCGCCCTCTTGATTGGTCTCGTTGATATTGACGCTGCCAGTCGAGATTTCTTTGCCGTTCCTCTCTAGCCACTTCTTCTGGAGTGCGTCTACCGTTGCAGTGTTGCCCTCGCCAAGCTCCTTGCGTATTGTCATGATCTCGCGTGCGACAGCCACTTCGGTCTCGTCTTCTAACCGTACGCCGAACTCATCCTCGAGGACCTGCAGAAGCATGACTTCCACATCCTCGGCGTCTGTCAGAGGCTCTGCAGCAAAGCGCTCTGAAATCTGGCCTGCAAGCCAGTCGCGCTTATCCGAAGAGTCGGGGCCTCCCCATTGGTTTTGTACGGCGACGGTGAGGTTGGCCCAGTTGAACAGCGCGTGCCAAATTCCGAGATCAAATTTGTCCTGGTGTTCCTCTGGGGGGGCGGGGCGTTAGAATGGAAAATGGGGCGTGGTAATTGTCTGTGTACTCACCAGCGATAGGGCCGAATATTGAAGTCATTTTGAAACGGTTGTTGCGAAGAAAGTCGGAGCGCGGATTTGCGTCACAATGGCACAACTTTTGGAGGCGTTATCGATAAGGATTTTGCACCCCTCGTTGTGGTTGGCCACGTGAGGTCGCGATGCGCACCAATGAGTGCATTGTTGCGCATGTTCTTGGTACGCTACGATGAGAACAGAATATTATATTTGCATGGTGAAGTCTCCTGATCAGCCTTGTGGGCGAAAGGCCTTGAGCATCTTGCTTCTGGTGCATGGCATGCACTGTCTTGTAGCATTTCCGTATCAGGACTAAGAGCGGGCTTCTGTAACTTGGATGCGCATGCTAGAGTCAAGTATGACGGCATTGATTCAGATAGATTCAATGGGCGGTGGCATGTGCGGTGCGCCGACGAGCGATGGGGTGGGCTTTGCGACGAAGCTGGGGCAAAGCTCATACACACTTTACTTTTGCACTCTCAAGCTCATACAGCGTAAACCGGTGTCGAGGATAAATAAAGCTTGAAAGGAGGCGCAGCTAAAAATAAATTGGACAGGTGTGAAAAGTGCCGCGATGCTTGGCTTGGAGATGGGGATTTGAAGATGAAGGCTCGTGCGCTAAATCTGGCGGCGCGCTTCCAGCTTCTACTGTGGGCCGTTGGGAGGATGCGAACCACATGGCCGCGACAATCTATGCTACCTTTGCTGCAGGGCCGCCTGAGGTAGCATCGTTCTGTGCGAATCAAGAGGCAAATGCCGCCATAGGCCCGGCTGGCGCAAGGGGGTCTTGGGCGATCGCAAAAGGAACAGCGTATCCATGGCGCATCGTCTTTAGTTGCGAATAGTAGCGCCCGGACAGTCATGTGGAATTGCTCTCCTGTGCCACTGAAGTCATGGTTGTGCGTCATTGGGCTTGGGTGAATTGACAAATCTAGGCCCGTAGACGTATATGGATATGGTTTGGGGGGGTTCCAGGTTGACTGGACTTTGGTATTCATGACTCGCCAAACCATGTGTGCTGAGTAGGATTGGCATGTTGAAGTTGTCAAGTCTCTTCAGCATCATGGTGCAGGCGTAGGCGGAATGGCGGGGCGCCCAGCAGCATGGCGCACCCACGCAATGCGCCCTCGAAGATTTGGCTTCTGCTTCCACCACCATCAAGATAAGCAACAAGACGCATCTCACGATCTGGCCGGGCTGACACTGGGGGCGCAGCGATCCGACGGGCCCTCCTGGCGCAGATCTGGGGCGCATTGACGTCATGTAGACTTGTTCAGTGGTGGGCTAGCTGTCCATGTTGTCTGGAGCGCGCAGAGGTTAAATCAAGGCCTAACCCCGCCGTCTGGACCCTGAATCTTCTCCCAAGACACCCCCCAAGACACCCCCCAAGACTCGCATCTTGCATGTGATCCACTGTTATCCACCACCCTGGCTCTTCGTATTTCCCATCCCGTCCCTCTCCCCACCCAGCCGGTCCGAATCAAGCTAGAGCTGCCTCCAGCTCCTCGATAGCCCATTGCTTTGCACCACCACCTTTACACTGCATATCCGCAATTGACGCTTCCAACCCGCATCCCTATACACCCACAATGTCGGCGCCTGCCTCTGCCACCAGCGAGCTGCCCATGCGCTCCCCCACCATGCGATCCGGTGACGACGAGGTCGTTCCAGGGGAGGACACCTCAGAGGTAAGCGGTGCTGAAGCCACCAACAAGGGCATTGTCGCTGAACTGCACAGGTCACCAAGCTCTTCGCAGAGAGGCTGCAGGCCTGGAAACACGCCGTCGGCTACCTCGAAGACTACATCACCGCCACGGAGAAGACAAACTCGGCACATGGCAAGGAGTACGAGCGCGTCTTGAAGGCACGTACAGCCCCTTTCCCACATGTGCATACATACTCACACAACGCAGACCGTCAAGGACCCATTGAAGGAGGGCCACCACTTTGACCAGTCCCTCGGGGGCATTGCAGGCATGTTTGAGAATATCCGCTCAAACACCCAGGTACGCCATCTCAGCTGGAGACAACGACGGCTTGACTAACACCACCAGGGCATGTCCAACCAGCACTACGAGACGGCCAAGCAACTGAAAAGCGTCATTCTTCCCATTTTCGAGCGCCTGCACACGGAAATCAAGAACAAGAGCAAGGAGCTCACAAAAGGCGCCGGCAAGGGCAGCAAGGCCGTCGACAAGGCCCGCCAGCAGACGCAGAAGCACATTGAGATGCTCGGCCAGTACGCCGCCGCATTCGATTCGCACGGCAGCGCCCAGATGAAGGCCACCGACGACCCCTACATCATCCGCCGCGGAGTCAACCACCGCCTCAACAAGCAGGTCCAGGAGGAAAACAACAATCGCCAGGATCTGATTGCCGTGCAAAACTCGTTTGCCCAGTTTGAGGCGCACATTATCCAGGAAATCCAGCACGGCATGACGCAGTTCCTGCAGGTCATGACCACGCAGGCCGAGCACACAAAGGCGTCGTACGGCGACATGGTGGGCACTTGTCAGCGCACCCCGCTCGACTTTGAATGGAACGGCTTCATCCAGCGCAACAACACCATCCTCATCGACCCCTCGGCCCCGGCACGAACCCTTGCCGACATCAGCTTCCCCAACCAGCACCACCGCTCGACGCAGCCGCTGATTTCTGGCTCACTCGAGAAAAGGGGCAAGATTATGCGCTCGTACGACACAAACTACTATGTCGTCACGCCATCCAAGTTCCTCCACGAGTTCAAGACAGACGATGATTTTGCTAAGGACCCAACCCCCGAACTGTCTCTCTACCTCCCCGACTGCACCATCGGTGCCGTCAACGGCAACAAGTTCAACATCAAGGGCAAAGACACGTCCAAGGGCAAGATTGGCGGCGCCTTTTCCATGAACCACGAAATCAACTTTAAAGCGCACACGCCCCAGGCTGCCCAGCAATGGTGGGACGTGCTCCGCCAGGCCGCCGGCAGCGTCACCACCGACGCTCCTGACTCGAGTGTGCCCACCAGCCCCATTACCCCCGTCAGCGAGAAGCAGCCTTCTCCGCTGCAGACACAGGGCCTGGAAAAGACGGGAACAAACACCACTCAGCCTGGAAGCGCTGTGCCTGCCAGTGCCAGATAGTGCAACATGAAGGGATGAAAAATTGCTTTGTTGGTATGTCTGGCTTGGATTGCGTATACACATGCCATAACCTCTTTGCTTTGCGCTTGGTCTTACTATACCCCCCCACCTAATAATGTTGATGTCTTTTTTACGTAGCCAATCTATGTCCCATCTCATCTCGTCTTGATCAATCCCACATTTGACGCACGTTGAGGTTGACTCTCTTGTTGGCCATCCACCCGCTCCATTCTTGATATCCTGTATTCTCATCCCTCTCTTTTTCTTCTTGTTCCTGTTCTTCCTGTTCTTCTCCCTGCAGAGTGCCAGGCCATGCCTTGAGATACTCGGGACACGTGCCCGCCACTATCTGCGGCACGCCGTGCCATGCGAACCGCGACGAGCCGCTCATATACACGGCACTGCCGGATCTCAGTCTCAGCGTCACCACCTTTTCCCGTACTTGTCCACTTCCGCCTTCTCCGTCGCTGCTCACGTTTCCAATTACGAAGATGGCGTCGCAGCCCAGACTCACGCTTACAAGGCCCGTGGAGCTCGTCTCGGCCACATCGCGATGCACGCTCAGCGTGTCGCCGGGAGAGTACAAATTGACAATTGCCGCTTCAGCCCTTGTACTGGGGAAAAGCGATTCCAGCAGATGTTTGATATCGCCTGGAAACGGGGGCGGGGCGGCCTCGGGATAGCGTTTGGCGGTCCAGTCGTACTGGCCGCCCAGCGTGGTCCAGCGCAGCTTCTTGGTCAGCAGCTGCGCGACCGACAGCGGCTTGTGGACTGCAGCGTCCAGCGGCGTGGCAACGGGCGTAGAGGCCGAGGGGGACAGGGAGAAGAAAGAGGCGTGGTCTGGGGGATACGCAAGAGCATAGTGCGTGTGGATATTGGTCAGGTGACGGGGGCAAGACACGTCGCGGTGCAGCAGTCGGGAGAGGAGTAGAGACTGAGTTTGCACAGGCAGCAGATGGGGGACTATGTGTAGACCTAATTCCCGGTTTCTTTGGTCAGGCTATGCTGCTGGGCAACGGCTATTTTATTTGATTTGATTTTTTTTGGCTTCAAGTACCGGGCATGTCTGTGTGCTCGTACACGGCCACCACGCGTGACGAGACGGTCGTGGGTGCGGCTTGGCCGCCAAAAGCGCGGAAAGTAGCGGTCAGGTCGATGGCGGCGTATTCCTGCACAAGACGCAGTTTGCGGTCGACTGCGGCGGGTGAATCCTTGTCGAGCGGTACATCGATCATGTCGTCGTCTTGGTCGAGCTCGTGCCGCTTCATCTTTTGGTACTTTTTGTACACGGCGCGAATGCCGTCTGGCGGGCGCTCGTGCGGATCGAGCTGGTGATGCATGCTGCTCAGCAACTTCTGGGAAGCCAGCCAGGCGAGCCAAGAGTGGTGGGTGAAACGGTGTAAGTTGAAAAGGCGACAAGTATATTGTGGAGCAAGGGTTGCGTTGCCTGGAGTCGCGTTTGCGGCTGATAACGGCGCGTTGCCCAAAGCGGCGAGGTGTTTACCCTCTGGAATTTCCCCATGCACAACACAGACATAGAACACACGCTCTCTCTTTCTCTCTCTCTCTCTTCCGCTTTCCGACTCCTGCAGCGGCACAACACCCCCTGCCTCCTCTCTCTCCTTTTCTCGACTACTAACCACAGGAAACACGTGAGCCTCGCTCGACACGGCTGCTGCGCCGTCCCTCGCCGCTCTTTGATACCCGCTCGACTCCATCTCCCCCCGCTCGTTGCGACACTGCCACCCGGCCTGGACGCGGCTTAGCACGCTTGACCGCCTGTCGTTGGAAGCACGCGCAGTCGGCTGCCGGCTACCATGGAGAACTACCAGAAGCTGGAAAAGGTCGGAGAAGGTAAAGGAGCTGCTGCAATGTTTTTGTTTTGGCGAGACTGACGCTCGCCGCCCCTAGGAACGTACGGTGTTGTGTACAAGGCGCGAGACCTCACGACCAAGGACCAACGCATTGTCGCGCTCAAGAAGATCCGCCTCGAGGCCGAAGATGAAGGCGTGCCGTCGACGGCTATTCGCGAGATTTCGCTGCTCAAGGAAATGAACGACCCCAACATTGTGCGTCTGCTCAACATTGTGCACGCCGACGGCCACAAGCTGTACCTGGTGTTTGAGTTTCTCGACCTCGACCTCAAGAAGTACATGGAGGCGCTGCCGGTCAGCATGGGCGGGCGGGGCAAGGCGCTGCCCGAGGGATCGGGCCTGGCGGGACAGCCGCTGAGCATGGACGACAAGATGGTCAAAAAGTTCATGATGCAGCTGTGCCAGGGTGTGCGGTACTGCCATGCTCACCGCGTGCTGCACCGCGATCTCAAGCCCCAGAATCTCCTCATCAACAAGGATTGCAATCTCAAACTGGCGGATTTTGGTCTGGCCCGCGCGTTTGGTGTGCCGCTGCGAACATATACCCACGAGGTATGGCGCTCAAAATATACACGCAGGCTCGCTCTCTGACAAGAAACAGGTTGTTACGCTGTGGTACCGCGCTCCCGAGATTCTGCTTGGTGGCCGCCAATACTCGACTGGTGTCGACATGTGGTCGGTTGGGTGTATCTTCGCTGAGATGTGCACGCGCAAGCCTCTCTTCCCTGGCGACTCGGAGATTGACGAGATCTTCAAAATCTTCCGGTGAGCAGCCTGTCGGGCATGTCATGTGCAGTACTGACAAGCATAGTATCCTCGGTACACCCAACGAGCAGGACTGGCCTGGCGTGACTTCGTTCCCCGACTTCAAGCCCTCGTTCCCCAAATGGGGCAGGACAGACATTGCCAATATTGTCACCAACCTGGACGAGGTCGGCCTCGACCTGCTGGACGCGCTGCTTGTATACGACCCTGCCGGCCGCATCTCGGCGAAACAGACGGTGGTGCACCCGTACTTTAACGGAATGAACGGCAACGACTACACCAACGGGTACCACTAGCGGTCCCTGGAGGATGCTACGACTGTGATGCAATTTGGTGGCTGCACAATTGTTGCAGAGCACACGAGAAAATGGTGTCTAGATGAGATTCCCGCTTTGTTCTGGATACGAGGGCTAGGCTGTACCTGATCGGACAGCAGGCGGCGTTTTGGTGGGATAGGTTACGAAGATATGCATCCAATACCGCCGTGCAGCGTGTGTGGATAGTGTGTGTGTGTGTGTCCCTTTGTGTCCCTCCGTGTCCCTCCGCGTCCCTGCATTGGCGTGCCGGGACGCTACTGCATGACGTAGCGTGTCAGCCCCACTTGTGCCCCACGCAGCGTGCTGAGGGCGGGCGTGCATCCACGTCAGGTCCCTCTGGAGACGAGACGACTTGCAGTGTGTCCTGGATCATGGCTTCGTCAGCACCCAAACTGCTTCCCCTGGCAACGGGCCCTCGTCTGATAGTGTACCACCAGACCATCCACGATGCCCAAGGCAACTACCATTCGCTGCTTCCGCTGCTGACCAACAACACAGGCATCACGCATGTGATTGTCGCCGCCATCCACCTCAACGACGGGCCGGGGAACATTACCCTCAACGACCACCCCCCAGCCGACAAGCGCTTCGAGCAGCTCTGGGGCGAGGTCAACTGGCTGCAGGGCAGCGGCGTCAAGGTGCTGGGCATGCTGGGCGGGGCTGCAAAGGGGAGCTATGAGAGACTGAGCGGAGACGACGAGAGCGTACGGCGATTCTGGCTTCACACTTGCTTTGTGTATGGAATAGCACACACAGTACAGGCGCTAACGAGCCCAGTTTGAAGCATACTACACGCCGCTTCACGCCATCGTCTCGACGTACAAGCTGTCGGGCCTCGATCTCGACGTCGAGGAAGAAGTGGCCCTCTTGACCGTCACCCGCCTCATCTCGCGGCTGCGCGCCGACTTTGGCCCTGACTTCCTCATCACGCTCGCGCCCGTCGCCACGGCCCTCATCCCAGACCCGAATATCCCCGCCCACCTGCGTCCGCCCCGACCCATGCTGGCCTCGGGCCCCAGCCCCAATCCGCTTCACCCCACCCTACCGCACCTAAGCGGTTTCAGCTACCCGGAGCTAGAGTGCGGCGTCTACGGCAAGGAGATTGCCTGGTACAACACGCAGTTTTACTGTGGATGGGGAGACGCCGGCAGCACCATGTGGTACGATGCCATCATCGCCGCCGGCTGGAAGCCCGAGAAGGTCGTCATGGGCGTGGTGACGAACCCGGGCAACGGCGCCGGCCACATTCCGCTTGCCAAGCTGACGGAGAACTGTGCGCGGCTGCGCGAAAAATACAAAAACATGGGCAAAGGCTTTGGCGGCGTCATGGGCTGGGAATACTTCAACTCGGGCGACTGCGAGCACGACGTGGTCCACATTTCCTCGCTCCCCGACCTCATTGCCGATAACACGGTGCAGGCCGGCTGGGTCGCGGCGCTAGGCCGTATCCTGCGCTCCCAAGATGCTCCCCGCCCCCCGCAGACGGAGCGCCCGCTGCAAAACGTCTCGGCCCAGCAGATCCGCAACATGGTGACCAGACTCCCCCAAGCCGATTCCCAGTGGCCTGATGCCGAAATTCAGAAACTAGTCGTCTTGGGCTTTCAGCGCCATGAGGCGCTCGCTGCGCTCAATGCTACAGACGGCAATGTGGAGCTTGCGGCGGGGTTTTTGTTTGAGCATTATCCTCAGTGATGGATTACTGTTGTTGTTGTTGTGTTAGATGTAGATGAGAAAAGAAAAGAAATAGAGTCGTGGAAAGAAACTAGCTGTTTGTGTACATGTACTTACACTATCGACATGCTTTTCTTTTTTTTGTTGGCTCAGGAGAAAATGCATGTCTGTTGCCGTACATTATACCATAATGCCCTTTAGTCTTACCCATACTTACTTTGGACGCTTTTACCGTTGTCGTTTTGCAGAGTCTTGTTTGTATCATTTCATCTCGTGAGATTATTAGATTGGATTGGATTGGACTGGATTGGATTGGGTTGGATGGGATGGGATTGTATCACGGTATCATGTCGTGAGGCTATGGTATGTATGTATGGATGTTCACATCATGAGATTTTATTTACATCCATGTCCATTTTCATTTGCACTTGCATCTGCATCTGCATCTGGATGGATTGGTGGAGTGGTGGAGAAAGAAAGGGGGATGGAGAAAAAGAGACAGATGCATGTGCAGGCGTGACCATCGCGTGAGATGTACGTACGTAGCTAGCTGTTTTGTTCTATCCGTGTCTGTATCCGACTTGGTGCATGCATGCGTACATCCATGCATCCATGCAGGCAGGCCGGGAAGCGGGCAAGTATGCAAATATGCAGGTGCGTGGAAATGCATAAGTGGGCACGTCGGCATGTGGGTGGCTAACCAACTGACACCGGCTAGTCTGACTGTTAAGATATGTACGTCTGCGTTTGTGCAAGGAATGTGCGTGGATTGGGATGGCATGGGATGGAATGTATCGTGAACTCCACAAGTATACCCGTCTCTGCATCTACATCTACATTTACATCTGCGTCTGCGTTTACATGCGCGCCTAGCACGTCCGGCGTTTACATCCATGGCTGCATCAATGCTGATCCTATTATCCCAGTCACGTCTGCATCTGCATCCACATCTGCGTTCATGTAGATATACGTCAAGTCTGGATTTACGTCCTTGTTCTTATCCTCGCCTCGTCTCGTCTCGTCTCGTAAACATCCAGTCTAATAGCAAAAAGAAAAAAAGCAGAAAAGAGGGGCGGCGGCGGCGGCGGAAAAAGACGGGATAAAATATGATATGGCAAGGACAAGGAGAAGCGGAGAGGCAAAAAGGGAAAAAGGAAAAAGAAAAAATGTGAAAGGAGGGAGATGATGGAAAAGTATCCGTACTGACGTAGCTAGGTGAAAGGATGTAGATCGGATAAGTAAGGGAAACATGCACATGGAAAACATGACGTAGGAGTGGGACAGTGACAGGGAAAAGGAGGGACTCGGCTTCACCCCCACATCGGCCTCCACTTCGGCTATAGCCTGTCCTACCACTACCACTACTAACTACTACCCTACCTTAACCCATCTCATCTCATCTCGTCTCGTCTCGTCTCGTCTCGTCTCGTCTCACATAACCCGGTCTCTGCTTATGTATCCTAGCTTGTCTCGGCTAAACCTTGTCCTGCTCTTACTCTCACCATCACTGTATGTAATCCGCCCTGTTCTGCTTATCTCACGCATCCCCAGCCTTACTGTTCCCTCGGCTCGGCTCAGCTCAGCTCAGCCCTGCACTTTGCTCGTGTCGCCTCGCGTGTCGCCTCGGTTGGTGCTCGGTTCGGGTCGGGTCGGGATATTTGGGTCCGAGGCGATGATGATGATGATGAGGTCAAGATTGGCGAAGTATGACTGAGATAACGAGTATGAGTATGAGTATGACTACGACTGAGACAAAGACAAGGCTAAGATTAAGGATAAGTATGTGTCTGGTTGGACATGAGCACAGGAAGCACCAGAAATTGACAATGGTAATATTCAAGATAAAGAAGAAGAAGAAGAAGAAGAAGAAGAAGAAGAAGAAGAAGAAGAAAGAAACACAGAGGAAAGAAGAGAACGTGCATAGCGTGTGAGGAGGTGCACAAAATTAGTCTATTTTAATTTTTTTTCTTTTTATGCACTTGGTGGGAAGGGCGCATGGAGTATAGTATAGCATAGCATACACCTACACCCATCCTAACATCTAGACCTAGACCTAGTGAGTGTGTATTACAAATAAGTCTGTAACAATCCTCGTGCTAGTAAGACTATTCGTGCTAACACTGATGCATCTGGATGTATATGTACTTAGATGGTGTGACGAGGATACTTGTCCTCGTGCGATAAATCGACCAAGTAGTACATAGGAACTAGGATTCGCAATTGGCAATGCAGGTCTAGAACTCTTCTTGCTCTCGTTCTGGAATCAAGGCTATATCTACACGCGTATTATGTCGATCTTGGCCCTCCCTATTCAGATTCGGTATCGGTGTCCGTGACTGTGCCGGTGGGGGAGGGGGAGGAAAGAGTGGGGACTGGGAGGTGGAAGGGGTGGAAGAGTGGTAAGTAATGTGAAAAATGTACAGTAAGGGAAAAACACTTTTCCCCTTCCCCTCGTCACTTTAATTTCATGTCATCCCGCGTCCCTTTGGATTCCGACGCCGTTTATCCCTGGCCCTTGGTACTTATTCTGGGTTGTTTCTGGGTTGTTTCCTTGCACTGGCACTTGTCTGCTCTGGTGTAGTGTAGTGTAGTGTAGTGTAGTGTAGTGTAGTGTAGTGTAGTGTAGTGTAGTGTAGTGTAGTGTAGTGTAGTGTAGTGTAGTGTAGTGTAGTGTAGTGTAGTGTAGTGTAGTGTAGTGTAGTGTAGTGTAGTGTAGTGTAGTGTAGTGGCATGTGAAATGTGGGGGTGGTGCGGTGTGTGTGTGTGTGTGTGTGTGGGGTATGTAAGACATGATTATCACACGAGCAATACGTACGTACAATATCACTCAGCCCTGGCATATGCATACATGCATACATGCAAAGACGCGCTGCAGAATGACGTTGTTTCAAATCACAGGGAAAAAAAAAGGTGATCATGGGGAGATACTCGTTTTTTTCTCTTTAACAAAATCTCTTGGTTTCGTATTTATGTGTGTGTGGGGGGGTATCCTACGTATGAAACAAAACTACTCTAATAACAATGAAAAAAAGAGGTCATTCACGACCCATGGAGAAGAAAAGGCCAAGCCTAATCCCAGTACCAAGTATGAATAGTACGAAATCGTAAATCTAAAGTCCGACGCAGCATCATGTGCGTATGCCCGTAAAAATGAAGTGTGGTAGAATGAAGCGTAGTAGAATGAAGCGTATAATACAATCAACCCACATGTCGAAGCGCCTTTCTAAACCCAGACAACTCATCAATGGCCTCGCGAAGAGAAGGCGACGATGACGACGCAGACGACGATCGGTGTCGTGTTCGATGTGGTGGAACTTCGAGCAAGTGACGAGAACTAGAGCTACGCCCTCGACAAGCTGTTGGTAATGGTCGCGACACCAACACCGCAGGAGGCGTATGTGGTGCTTGTATTGATTCGTCGGACGAAGTCGAGGAAAACGACAGTGTCGGGGTAAGGGCGATATGACTGCTAATGCGAACCGAACATTAAATAATGTACTCATGTGAAAATGAGGGGTCGGAGCAAAAACACGTGTGGGTAAGAGTGGGGATGGGTATCGTTTTGAGAAGCGTCTTCGCTGGCTGCCATGCCACGTACAACGCGTAGAAAAAGGATCGAGTAAAATGGGTATTTTACCTTCCATCGTCACTGGTCCTGGGGCTCTGCTTCCTACTGTTCATTTGCGTGTTGCGGTACGTCTCCTCGTTTAGAGTATCCAGGCTTCGAGCCGGACTAGGGGTCGTCGCTCTGCTACTTCGGCTTCGGTTTGGAGAGCTGGGCCTCGACGTCGCAATCTCATACGAGGGCAGACGCATGTCCATGCCACCAGGGGTCCTTGAACCGGCAGGGGTGCGCACAGCCGTGTTGTAGCTGGGGGTCCTGGCCAGCGCGTCCATGTCGTAGTTGGAGGCAGGGAGGTCAAAGTAAGCAGGCTCGCCGCTGTTGGCAGGGGTACTATCGCCCGACGAGTTTTGCCTAGACGGCTGGCAACGCGTGGGGCGGTCACTGTGGTTCATGCTGAGGTTTGCAAGGCGGTGCTGCAGAGCGGCTGCAGACGCACCGCCGCCCGACTGGTGCATGGCGGCATCCAGCGACGTGAGATCCTCGGCCGAGCCACGCCTGCTCTGAGCAAAGAATGGCGTATTAGCGCCGCTGTTCATCATGCTGTGTCGGCCGCCAGGCGTCATGAAGCCAGACGGGTCAATGTCGTTGTAGAGCTCGTCCAGCTGGTGCAGCCCATACGTAGGAGGCGCATTCTGGTTGACCTCGTCCTGTATCGCCTGCTGGTTCAAGATGCTTTGGTCCACCACGACGCTCTGGTCTTCGTTTGGAGGCAGGTTGGGCGAAATGAAGAGATGGACGTGGTTCTTAACGAGCAGCTGGCTCGTGTGCCCCTCGGGGTTCTTGAGGTTGATGTATAGCCGCAGCTTGTGGCTCAAGCGAATGTTTTCCGTGTCGACCGACTGGCGGCAGTTTTTGAGCGATTTGGGCAGGTCGAGCGTCATGGAAAAGCGGTGCGATTCGTCAAAGAGCGCGTCGGCATCGTCGGTGCCCTCGGGGACCATGCGCGCGGAGTTCTCGGGCATGTCGCCCTCCGTCACCGCGACCTGCATGTCCTGCTGATGGCTTATGCGCCGGCCGGCATATTCGGCAAATAGTTGGCGCGACTCAATCAGCTCCATCTTGATGGTCGAGATCTCGACGCCTTTGCGCAGGGGAATCAGGACAAAGTCGGCCGTGATGTGGGTGCCGACAATGTAGTTCTTCTGGGGGACCGTGATCTTGTAGGCCAGCTTGTTGGCCCAAATGTCCTCGTTGATCTGCTCCATGGGCATGGATTCGAGCATGTCGCGCCCGAGGGTGCGAATGACGCGGATGTGCGTCGAAGCACTGAGCTGCTTGCTCATGTACCCTCTATCCACCGTGGCCTTGAGGCTGTAGACGATCCAGTTGGTCGGCAGGCCCTCGACGCTCTGGTCCAGGTTCGGGGGCATCTTGAACTTGAAGTCCCACTCATGGTAGCCGGCATTGATCTTGTGGGCCTTTGTCTTGCTGCCCACGTCGACGGGGAACAGGTGGAGCTCTTCGACGAGAAAGTTTGTCTTTTGCGTAATGGGCTGCGGGCTTACTGTGTTGGTCAGGTGCCATCTGCATGGGCGAGACGTCAGTAGGCGCACATGCAAAACACGCGGGAGGGGTGCTACCGTACGAAACTTTGCGTGTGCCTGTGAGTGTTATGCGCAGGCTCCTCACAGACATGGGCTCTGGGTTGTTGAGCACCAGCTTGCCCTTGAGCTCCGTCTCATGCGATTCTGACGATTCTCCATAGAAGACGACAAAGGGCGAGTCGGGCCTGTGACCATGGTTAGATTGCGGGGGTGCGGTGGTGCGGTGGTGCAGCAGCCTACTTGATTTCCAGGGTAGGCGCGGCGTTCCTGCCGAAGACGGCGACGCTTGGGCGAGGCATGATGTAAGGTGGGACTCTTCTTATTTTTTTTCTCGAAAATCAAGTCAAGAGCAAAACCACCATTCGACTGGCGCGAGCAGCGCTAAGGGCGGAGGCCAATATATATCAGGCGGGAGTGATTGCGGGCTGACGCAGGTAATAATGAAGCGTGCGGGCGGAGGGAGCGGAAAGCCGGATGCGGTCGCAATGGCGACGGGGGGTGGATGTGGTGAGAAAAGTGGCGTGCAAGGCTGCGAGGCTGAGGGCCTGAGCGTGGGAGGGAGAGGAAGGAGGAGAGAGGGAGGGAGGGGGGAGGGAGAGGAGGAGGTGGTGGTAGGGGGGGTTGCGAGGGCTGTTCAGCCAGGAGGAGGAGGAGAGTGAGAATAGAGCAGGAGCAGCAAGCGAGGCAAGAGCGGGTGGCGGCGCGTTTGGCGTGCGATAGATATATACATGATATTACTGCCACTACTACTTTAGACAGCAGGCTCGAGGGCGTGGGATGGGTGCGGCGAGATGCACCCTGATGAGCTCATGGGGCCCGGGGTGGAGACGGCGGCCGCTCGCATCATTGCATGGCCGCTGATTAGCGTGTTTCCAGCCATCCAGGGCGCGTCTGGCAGCAATTTTGGCCCGCCTTTAGCTGGCAAGGGGGGGGGAGGGGGGCTCCAAGAAGGTGTTCCGATGACTTGTCGCCAACGGCCGCGGCAGGCGGTGCGATAAGTACGTAGCAGCAGCACTGCCCGAATAGATACGACGCGGCCTGCAAGAGCCTGCAAGAGCCGCTTACGTGTGCCGGGTGGCATGGCGGGTGCGGTGAATCGCGAGCATGTGAAGGTGTGCATGTATCTATCTATCTACTGACTGTACTCGGAATGTTAGCATGTAGTATACAAGGTGGGTGTACGTGTACTACATGCACACGATGGCCGTATCCACCCTCTGCCCGCAAGCGACCAGGCACCCTCCGGGATCAGGTAGGGATTGCATGGCTGGCTTGCCGCACCCGCTCCGGCCAAGCTGCACCAAGCACTGAAGCACCCAAAGCCGTGGTGAAGTGCCATGCACCTTGCCGGAGCAGCATCACGCCAGCCCAGCCCGCACCCAGATGCCATGCTGATGCTGCGCTGTCGCTGTCCTGATGAGCGTGCCAGTATCAGCGCCTCCACAAGGGCATTGCAGGTGCGTGTCGTCGACTAGGCTGCTTCCGGCCGTCACGTGACCCGCGGGCGCTGCTCCTCTGCATCGCCCTCGGCCACGCCGCTGACCGGAACAAGGCTCATCCAGCCCACCCTGCCACTGCCACCCAATCCACGCCACTCGTTCGCCAGCCCGCCAAAACCCAATATTCATATGCTACCACACCTGCTTCAGCCCGGCCCGACCGAGCACGGCCTTGGAAATCTGCGGCTAGACGTGCATTGCCGCAACGGTGGATATCGCAGAGCCTCATCAGCCAGGGACCCGCTCCCAGCTCGTCGACCACACACACCTAATTACACTATACATTACGGAGGTGACTGTCAAAAGTTCTTGCTAGCGCCACGCTAAGCCGCCAGCCTATCGGCCCGACTATTCTTGGCGCCCACACCAATCTTTTGAAGCTGGCGATAGCTTGTATACTCATTTTTTTGAGTGTTTTTGATCTACCATGGCTCTAAATACGGATATATCGACCCGCTCTTTTATTGTTGCATTGAAGTCACCTTTTGGTGGCAAATCTACACGCGAAATCGCAGAAATGACAGGCATATCGCCGCGTACGATCGACTCAATTTATGGTAGAGCCTGCCAGCGAGGCTTTGAGCCTAACGCACGCCTAATTAAGATCCTTCCGCAGTACCTCGAAGATGCCCCGCGCGCAGGACGCCCTCGTAAACAAGAAGAAATACACGACGCTACTCTTAAGAACGTACGCCGCGATAGGTATGGGAGAGAGAAGAGCTGCGCTGATATTGCTGGTGATCTTAGTGTTCACGGCTACAACGTCTCGTCGTCCACCGTATGGAGAGTCCTTCGAGCAGCCGGTTACAACAAGACGAAGCCGACGAGGAAGCCTGGGTTGACGACGAAGATGAGACAGGAAAGACTTGAGTGGTGTCTTGCCTATAAAGATTGGACACTTGAAGATTGGAAGAACGTTATTTGGTCAGATGAGACTTCTGTTGTTCTCAACCACCGTCGCGGTGGCTATCGTGTGTGGCGACGCCTGGATGAAGTCTTTACCAAAAGTGTTATCCGAGAGCGGTGGAAGGGCTACTCTGAATTTATGTTCTGGGGCTGCTTCACGTACGACTACAAAGGTCCTTGCCATGTCTGGAGGCCTGAGACTGCGCAGGAGAAGAGAGACGCCGCTCTCCAGATTGAAGAGTTGAATAAG